AAATGGTGTCCGGAGTGGGATTGAATTTCCACGCAAAATAACAAAAGATTTAAAGGAATTTTAGAAACAGAAGAACGGAAAGAAGCACAGATTTTTGGTAGCAGCATTTTCTCAGGTGGGCTCTGTTTTGCTATCGACAAGCCAAGATTCACGTGGCTCGCTTACTGGAGTCTTCCTGACTCGGCATAAAAAGCAGTGGCCGGGGTGCCCAGACAGGCTTGGGCAACAGTCCCAGCAGGAGGATTTGACCCAGTGCCCAGTCACTGTAGCGAGTGAGGGTGGAGGGCGTGGCACGGCACACAGCAGCCTTTCCACAGGGCTCCAGGAGTCAAGGGAGTCCGCTCTCAACAAACACTATTGACAAGACTAGGAGCAGAGAGCACATAAGCCTGTGTGTCCCCTTGTCCTGGGGGGAGAGCTGTGGTGCTTGTGAGAAAGTTCAGGGCTGTGTAGTGGGGAGGAGACAGGGTGGGGAGCAGCCGCACGTGAGAGAAGTTCAGCAGACGTGAGCAGTACACAGGCGTGTGCAGTCTGAAGAGGATGGCGAGGCCTGGAGACAGTAAGAACACTGACGTGTGACAGGGAGGAAAAGACAGACCACGGCCACCTTCACCTCCCTCCACTCCAAGACCCCAAGTTACTTCACCTTCATCCTTTGTAGAGTGAGCCCGGATTAGGCCACGTCTCCCAGGACTCAGGCGTCCTGAAACTGGGGAGCAAGGGCGCCCTCCACTTCTGTTCCATAGGTTGGGTTTTTAAAAGAACTTGGAATAACCCTGCCAAACTCATAACAAACAGACCCTCCTAACTACCTGTGTCAGTCAGGATTTTTGTGTCCTCTGCCTAGGTGTTACGAGAAACCACTCCACGCCGGGCAGTGGTGGTGCACACCTTTAATCCCAGCACTTGGGAGGCAGAGGCAGGCAGATCTCTGTGAGTTCGAGGCCAGGCTGGACCAACAGCCTCCAAAACAATACAGAGAAACCCTGTCTCATAAAACAAAAATAAAAACAAAAAAAAGAGGGAGGGAGGGAGGGAGGGAGGGAGGGAGGGAGGGAGGGAGGGAGGGAGGGAGGGAGGGAGAGAGAGAGAGAGAGAGAGAGAGAGAGAGAGAGAGAGAGAGAGAGAGAGAGAGACCGAGACCAATCCGCACCCAGAAGGACCGGTGTGGAGCCTGGCCACTTGGCCATGCGCACTCACACGTGGTGGCAGGGTGTTCGCGGTCAGGGTGTGTCACTGCTTCCCAGTTAGTCCTGTCTGCAGAGCCTTCACAGGCACACTGAGCTTAGATGTGCCTCACCAGTCTCCTAGGTGACTGATTGTACAGCCAGTCAAATTAGCAGTAACAGTTAACTCAGAAACGCACACGCATTAAAGACCAACCAAGACAACATAACAACAACAAAAAACAAAAAGGAAATTCTAGGGCCACCTAGGGAAAGGTTTTTTCTGAAACTTTCCAGACAGAGTTGTAGTTATGAGGGCATTAAAGTAGTGCCAAGTGTGTAAACATTGTCACAGATAATCCCATGCCTAGGGGGAAATACTCATGAAAATAGTACTTAGCTTTGTAATACTGAGGTGTGCGCCCGTAATCCCAGCACTTGGGTGGGAAGTAGAAGCAGAAAGATCAGGAGTTCGAGGCCATCCTCAGCTATATAATGAACTTGAGGCCATCCTGGGCTTCACTGTACAGGCTGCATACTTCCCAAAGTGTCGGGACGGCGCACATTTACTGTATGGGCTCGCAGAAAGGAACATGCCAGACCATTTCAGACACGTCCGGATTACAGCTTCTACAGAGGCCTGGGCAAGGCGATAATAAACAGCAGCCACAAGAAAGGGTATGCGGGCGTGAGGAAGGCTGGGTGTGAGTCATGCACATGACTGTATTGCAGATTGGCCGCCCCTCTCGGGGGAGAGATCCTGTGCTGCTGAAGATGGCTGAGCGAAGGGGCCCCTTCGTGAACAGCAGCAATCAGACGGGCTAATGGGATACACGGCTGCCTAAAGCTAAGGGAACACCATGTGCAGGCCATGCTAATGGCTCTGCATAAATGAGAAGTGGGGCTCTGCCCCGTGTGTCTCATTGGCGTTTGGTCACATCCTTTCCGAGGAGTGTTGCAGTCTGGGGAGGGTTCAGAGGGGAGAGATGGAATCGCCAGCTCCCAAGCAAAGAGGAAGCAGGACTCAGCCATTTATCTCATGGGAGCCCCTAAAGCGCATGGTAGGAAGCGGGCAGGAGAGGATGCAGGGAACGGTGGTTAGCAGGGACGTGTTCCTATGTGATTGTCACACTCCCTCAAGCCCTTAGCTTCCTCCACCAATGTCCATACAAGCTGCAAAACCAGAAGGCCACCTTCCCTTGGGTCTCGGTGAGGCCCTGACTGTAGGCAGCCTCAGGTCCAGCATGGCTGCCCTAAGTGTAGGGGTTTCTCCTCCATTTGAGAAGGGAGGCCATCAACTAGAAGCCCTTCCAGAGGTCCGTGTACAAACTGGAAGGGGTTTGGGGTCAAAGGGAGGGGCCCTGCCCTGTGTATGGCGATGCTGGACACTGCAGGCCCCGCTGTGTTTACACAGCATCAGTAAGCATCTTGGGTAGTGCAGGAATTGTGTGCATATGACTTGCCCTGGGCTGGGGGCATCGCTGAGGTGACTGAGCCAGGCACACTGTTCAGAGAGAGGTGACAAAACCAGGAGGAAAGCAACTGCCTGGGTGAGATTCTAGGGCTAGACCTGGAATCCCCTCTGTCTCCAAGGCCACTCACCCTGTCTGCCTCCCAGCTCTCTGGGGCCTGGCCTGTGAAGTCTTGTCTGCTACAGGGAGCATTTCTCTGGAGTACTCCCTAAGGTCCACTCCAGGCACCGTGCTCCTGAGGCTGCCTCAGTCTCAGACCCTGTATGTGGTAGGCACCCCGTGAGCTAGGCAGGTTCCCCTCTCTTCGCCGTGGCGAGTGAACACGCCCTGTGATGTGTGCTGTGTGCCGCCCTCGGCAGGGCCGCTCTGGTCAGCTGGTGCTCAGTAGTTGCTGTGAGCATCTATGGGACCCTTGGAGAGGGACTGGGGGGGGACTGTCTGCAGGTCTCTCAGGTCCCACAGCTTGCCTGAGAGTCCGAGGGTCACTGCAGGACCAGTGGCTCTCTGTCAGTGTCTCCAAGTCCCTGTCCCATGCTGCGGGCTCCTTTCTCTCTTCTTCTTAGTTTGCTTTAAGTGTGACTCCTTTCTACTGATGAATTGCACATGGCTGCGTTACCTCAGGGGACCCAAAGGTTTGTCGTCTGCTTTCTTTAAGCATGGCATTTGAATTTGTCACCACACGTGTGTTTCTTCTGCAAACTTATAGAAGTTTGGTTTGCGGGAGTCTGCTGTGGCTAGAAGTTTCTGGCTGCATGCAGTCCTGCTCCAGGTCAGGGACTGCCCATCTTGTCAGCCACTTCCTGCGCCTCAGCCCCAGAGCCCCCGCTCCATACACGCAGTTCCCGGAGCTAAGCAACAGCGGCCAACCTCAGTCCTGTTTGTCATGCAAGGCCATTGTCCTTCCTGGCTTGTGCTGACCTCCTGGGTTGCTGGCTGTGCGTGCCCATGGCTCCTGGACTGTCCCAGTGATCCCTCACGCTGTCACCCTAAGGCATATGTCGCACTCTCGTTCCTCTCTGACCTCCGTCACTCATTCTGAGCCTGCCTACTGCCACTTTTGTGTCCCCCCCCCCCCCGTGGTATTTCCTCTCGAGACCGTGAATGACATCCTGTATGTCATCCTGGCCAAGGCAGCTTTCACCTGTGTGGCTCAGGGTGTGCAGAGAACAGCTGGGGTCAGGGGTCACAGACTGCAGGGTCTCTCGGAAGCCTCAGTTCTTCATGTCTGGTGACTGGGCAGGAAGGTTCAGCCTGGGTCTTTAACTCAGGGGCTCACATGACTTGTGTGGCCTGGGGAGAAGTGGGTGTGGCCTTTGTGGATGAGGAGTCCTGAGGGAAACAGCCCTGGGTGCTGACACGTGACCTGACGGGGTAAGACACAACGTGATGCAGGGGTGAAGTGGAACCGGGGTGGGGGCAGCGATCATCGGGGAAGCTGGCAGCTGCTGTGCCGCCCTCCACAAAGTGCGGGGTCCAGCCTTCCCCGCCTGGGCAGAGCCACTCCCGGGTCCCAGTTTAGGGATGAGTTGTTTTCCTTGTAATTACTCCTGTCAGGGCAGGAGGGCTGCTCGGCACGGGGCTGCAGAGCCTGGGTCTTTGAGTGCAGTGGGAAGTTGTCTGTCCCCAGAGAGGGACTGAGGGTCTCCCTGACCTGAGGGGAGGCAGGCAGAGCAAGAGAGGCCAGGGGGAGGAGGAACGAAGTCAGCTGGGTCAGGGATGGCTGTTCTCACTCTGCTGAAAGGAGGCAAAGCTGCCCGGCCCGAGATCCTCCTGCCTCAGCTTCCTGAGAGCTGTGACTGTGGGTTAGGTCAGAGCACCTGGCTGAGAAAGAATTTAACTGCCTTATGAGTGAAGCAGCCAGAACCTGAAGCAATTATGGAAAGGTTTTAGCTTGGACACTTGAACACGTTTTCATAATTCTGGAAAAATCTTATTTACATTTAAATAAGAACTCACTGTGCTCTCCTCCCCTCCGTCTCTCTCCCCCTCCCTCTCTCTCCCCCTCCCTCTCTCCTCTCCTTCTCTCCCCTCCTCTCTCTCCCACTTCCTCCTCCCTTATAAATATTTTTAAAAAGAATGGTTCCTAAGGGAGGAAGAGGTCGGAGGAGAAACGCCAGTGCTGAGCGCTCCATCCTGGGCACTGCTGAGACACCCATGTTGGGCGTTTGTAACTTTGGAATCATCCGTCTTTGTGCATTCGCCATGACTGACCACCTGCATCCAAAGCCTTGTTGCTTTCAGTACCTGAGACAGGAGCGAGGTGCCGCTGGGCGATTGCCCACACTTACCCAGCATTCCAGGGTGTGGCATCGTCTTGGCGCCAGGCTGAGCCGTCTCACTGGTCTTTTCTTTCTCTTCCCAGGTGTTCCACTGCGTCCACTTTGAGTGTCCGGAGCAGCAGAGCAGCCAGAAAGAAGGGAGCAGTGAGGAGCCGGGCACAGGGGACCCCAGCACCCCTAGTCAGCAGCTCGACCCTCATGCGCTTCGAGCGCCCAGTGCCAGCTCACAACCCCCGAGTCCAGGTCCCAACTCACGCTCACCCAACCAGCAGCACCAATAAAGGAGGCAGAGGACGTGGTGTGACTTGGGTGGGCCTGGGTGGGGTAAGGGTGTGCCCTCCTCCATCCCCTGGAGGAGCAGACCTGGCTGCAAAAGCCACCCCTACCAGGCTCTTTCCCTCAGGGGACAGGAGGGCACCCATGCTCTTCCAGCCTTCAGGAGTCTCCAAGGGCAGGAAGTGGGTCTTGATTCTTCAACTCCACCATCAATTCCTACCTCTAATGTTACCAAGGTACCAGGCCCAAACTCAGTACAAAAAAGAACCCTAGGCCTTGACCACCAGAAAAGGGCCCAGGCCTGGCTGCCTGGGAGCCCCAGCCCTGGAGTGTCCGTCTGCAGCACCATTGCCCTGGCTCCTTGTGGTTTGTGGTGTGTAGTCGTCTCCGTTTGCTAAGTCATGGGTGTCACAGGCTTGTAGAACTGCTCCAGCCCTCCTTAGGCGCCAGTGCTTGCGCGCAGACAGCGCAGAGGCCGTCCCTCCTCATGAGACCAGATGCAGCTCCTCATGGCGCTTAGCCTGGCCAGAAAACCCTTGCAGTCCAAGCAGACACACAATGTGCAAGCCAGCCCTGTGGACCCCGGAGTTAATAATTGGTCAGACTGCCGCTTTATTCACCCGTCATTCCTGATGTGTGCGAACCTTCCAGCCTGGGAGGCCGGCGTGGAAGCAGCTCCTGTGCCAGCGGCTAAACAAGCAGTCAGAGGCTGTGTCACAGGACACCGCTCAACCCTAGGCTGACCCCGCTGGGTCTCATGGCTCACCTGCCCTGGTTCACCAACAGATGGGGTGTCAGGAGCATGCCCCCCCACCCCAGTGTCATCCCCCCGGGACGGTGACCAGCAGCTCATAGGAGCTTTCATCTTTGACTACTGCAGCTCCGCCCCCTCCCTGTCACTTCCATGCACAGCTCCAGCTTCCGCACCGCCCTGCAGCATCCCGAGGCCCTGTGAGGTCACCTGAGCACTTCCTGTGAGGGGGTGGGGGCTCCAGGTCCGTCCTGTTCTAGAAGTGAAAGGATGGACTTAATCAGAAGGGGTTGTCCACACGGAAAGGTGGCAGCGTGGGGCCTCCGGCTGCAGTGGAGGTGACCTCCCTGATAGTTCAGGTGTGTCAGCTGGTCCTGGGCTGACCATTTGTGTGTGCAGCTGTCTCTGGTAAGAGGCTCCTAAGGATGGACAGCAGGGTGCAGCCACTGTGTGTGGTGCTGATGTTGGCAGCATCCCGCCCCGCCTGTCAGCCTGGAGAACTGCCCAGAGCATCTCCAGTCAGCAGTGCACGAGGAACTCAGTCCTGTGGAGACTCGGTTTGTATCTCTGGGAAGGTAGTGAGAGCTTGTTTGTTTCGTTCTTGTTCAGCTATTTGCTTAAGACAGAGCCTCCCTCTGTAAATACCTAGGCTACACTCACGGCAATCCTCTTGCGACAGCGTGTGAGCACAGCCAGGTGGGCTCAGCGTGGCGAGTGTGGCTACCACGAGATTCAGCCTCTGCTGCCAGCCGTGAAGTGACGCCTGCTCCCAGGCGAGCTGTCCTTTGATCATGTCCTTTAGGATGGCAGGTGTCCTCATTGGGGCTTTTGGAAGAAGTGTTGAGTGTCACCCGTGGACTCCTGGGGGACCATTTGGGGTGCTGGACAGGGCACTTTGGGCTATGGGGTGGAAGGCAGCTGCTCTCTGTATAGCAGTCACAGGTGGTCTCTCACTCAGGCCTGGAGTCTCCTCAACCCTCGGTACGTCTCCTGTTTGGATGTTAATGGAGTTACAAGCCCATTGTAGAAGTGGGCTCTCCTCAATGGCTCTTTGAACTGTCACTTTTTCACTCTTATTAAATGAAGTGTCAATCCCTGACAAATACACACGAGTTTTTATTCCTAGAAGTCTTAGGAAACGAAGTCTTTGCAGCGTGAGGGGTGGTGTGTTAGGCTGATTCCTTGCCCTCCACGTGAGTCTTGAAGCCATCTCCACAACTGTCAGCCCTCTGTGTGCACAGCTAACCCAGTGTGCCGTTCTCTCTGGCTTAGAAGATACGGGAGGTGTAACCATGGCCCCTGCAGGGCCGTGGGAAGGGGGTGAATCCACAGCCAGCGCGGGGCATGGCACTGCGGTGACTCAGCCCTGCCTGGGACTGCAGTGTCCTCTGGATGGGAACAAAGGTGCCGGGGCAGAGGGCCGCCTCCTCTGTGAGGCTCCTTGTTGAGCTACTGCTGTCACCGTGCCTCCCGTGTGGTGAATGGAGCCTCAGCAGTGCGGAGGTGGCCCGAGCTGTGGGCACTGGCCATGCCCTGGTTATTTTGCAGTACGATCGGCCATTGATTGTGAGTGTTCACCCTGGCAATGACTCTGGCAGGAGGTGCACGATTCTTAGTGGCCCCAGGCACTACAGTGCCCTATGCTACCAAGCAGAGCGCCCATGCTCAGGGTCCTGGGCTAGCCAGAAGGGAAGGAAGTGGCTGAAGTAGCTGTGGGCTGCTGGAAAGCATCTAACTCTCCCTGGATGGGGCTTTAGGCATCCCTGTCCCCCACCCACCCAGTGTCTGCCCCTCCCCCACACCCAGTGTCTGCCCCTCCCCCACACCCAGTGTCTGCCCCTCCCCCACGCCCAGTGTCTGCCCCTCCCCCACACCCAGTGTCTGCCCCTCCCCCACACCCAGTGTCTGCCCCTCCCCCACACCCAGTGTCTGCCCCTCCCCCCACGCCCAGTGTCTGCCCCTCCCCACGCCCAGTGTCTGCCCCTCCCCCCACACCCAGTGTCTGCCCCTCCCCATCCTGTTTCTCGTCCCTCACTTTGACAAACGCACAGGAATGAATGCTCATTCCAGAACACACTTTCAGTCTAGCAGAGAGCAGGACTCTGCCTCTGGCCGAGCCACTCCTGGCCTGGGTCTGTGGCATCTCATTCTCTTCTGTCCCCACCCCGTACCATGCTTCCCAACCTCTGCCACTAGAGGTCAGACTGAGTGGACCTTCTGGACAGACAGATCCCACCCAGCCAAGGACGGTCACCCCTCTAATTTAGGTTAACGTCCTCTTGGCACTTGTCACCTGGGGCTGGAGTATTACAGCCCTGGGCAGTTAGCAGAGGTGGCCTGGAGCCCACCTGTCCCCGCCATCGACTCCAGCCTCAGTCTTCCCAAGGGCTAAGAATGTCACCTTTGAAAGCAGCAGCAGTGGCTCTTACTACTTTGGGGGTGGCAGAACAGGGTCCCCAGCCCACTGGGGGAGACCAGCACCATGTAGAGACCTGCAGGTGGGGTGCTGGGACAGGTGTGCTCAGAGCTGTGGGCAGATGTAAGCCGAGGCTCCCCCACAGCCCCCGATGGCTGCGTCAGGTCCGTGCTCCACCCCCTCCTATTGCAGCTTGACACGGGGACAGTGCTGGTGTCCAGCTGTCACAGGGTGAGTCCCTCTAAAATAGGCTTCAGGCCACACAGGGAAACTCAGTCAGGGCTGCTGGGGTCTTGGGAAGCCAGGGCTAGGGCAGCTGTCGGTCTCAGGATGGCCCCTTGTCAGACTATCCTGGGACAATGTCCCCAAGGCCATTTTATAACTTCACACCTATCCCAGTGCCTGGGAAAGCAAGGTGATTGGCTTGGGTTGTGCCTTTAGAGTAAGGACAGGTGACAGTACCCCATTGGTGTGGCAATGGACAATCCCTGTGAGCCACTCTGACCAAACTTGTACAGACTGGATTTTCCAGAGAGGAGGCACCTCCCCGCCATGGTCACCATTCCTGAGCCTGTGAAGATGGTGAGTGCTTCCCATCCTCCTCCCAGGGTCTCTTGGAGGATGGGCAGTAGGGGTCACGCTAGTCCTGGGCATATGGCTGAGGTAGTTCCCAGGGCAGTGTTTGGAGTGTGTCCCTGCAGCGCCAGGCTGTGCTGTGTGTGCGGTGCCACCGTGGGCTCACCATAGAAATAAAGCGGTGACTTGTACACCCGAGTTTGTGCCTTGCTTTCTCCTGACTCGCCCTGCAGCTCCCCAGGATCCCTAGCCTTGTCTTCGCCACAGAACCCTGTTGGCGTCCTGGTGTCCCCCCCAGCCCCCAGCCCAGCAGCAGCAACTTTCAGGGTGCAGTGACCCCTCCAGCTCTGGGGCACCTTTTCTGGCCGCCCCGTGGCCTAACTGATTCTGTTTTACCTGTCACCACTCACGGGCCCTCTTCTCCAGCACCAAGGGACATCCAGACCCTTGCAGAACTGAGGACGGGCGTGGTCACAGAGACCTCAGTGGGAGTCATTGGACGGGCACCACTTAGTGCGTCCCTAGGGACCCTGTACTCAGGTGAGTGCCTGATGGCGTTCCTCGGGTTGGCCTGGCAGTGTGATCTGGTTATACCCAGGCCCGGGTGGACTCCCACAGGTGACTACTGAGCTTAGCTGAGTGAGGTCTAGAGGCAGGAGGAGGCCCCGCCTGGCTGATCCCCAAAGTGGGGGGCAGGGGCACCAGCCCCAGTGTAGCAGATCGCCCATGGGTCATGCCTACACAGGTCACTAAAGGGGACAGGAAGGGCCCACTAAGAAGCTGTGAGTTTGTGGGGGTACACCCTGCATCAGCTCAGAGGGAAAGCAGACCAGGAGCCCCCTGAAAGCGCCAGACTTGAGGGGCACCAGCAGGTACTTCCGGGGAACCACAGGGATGCTGTGTGTGGTCAAGTTCACACTGAGGGGATGGAAAACTCACTTCCTCAGGTTACTCATGACCAGATGCTGCTGCCAGCCTCCACATAGCGTCAGACGGAGAGTTCGAGTTTGCAGAAAATGATTGCCTCCGTGCCTTGTCAAGTTTCCGCTTGGGCCCAGTTGCTGCTTCCCGTAGGAGTGCAGCCAGGCAAGGCTTCCGTATTGTTTCTGAAAGGCTGGCATCACCCTTGCAGTTCATCCGTACCAGCAGAGGCAAACCGCAGGTGAGCCCGTGTCCCATGTCCCCACTCATTACAGCCTCAACACAGTTGAGAGCCCACCCCAGGCCGGCCGAGCTGGGGGTGCATGGCCGAGAGGAGCAGGCAACAGAGAGGGACACAGGCTGAGCCCTGCGCGGCAGCAGCTGGAGCGGGACATCCTCCAGCATTTTAAGCGTCACTTGCTATAGGGCAAAGACAGGGTTTGAGTACACAGCGCTCCCCTGTGTTGGTCTGGATGAGGATGTCCCTCATAGGCTCCTGTATTTGAACGTTTGATTCCCAGTCGTTGGACTGTTTAAAAAGGCCTAGAAGGTGTGGCCTTGCCGGAGGCGTGTTACCGGGGTGCACTTTGAGGTTTTAAAGGCCCTTGCCAAGCCCAGTTTCACTTACATGTCACCACCGATGGATCAGGATGTGAACTCTCAGCTACTGCCCCAGCACCGTGCCGGCCACCCTTCCCGGCTGCCGCGATGGACAAGGCCCTCTGAAACTGTAAGCAATGCAAGCCTCCAACCCTGCTGCTTTCCAAGTTGCCTCAGTCATGGTCTCTTCGCAGCATCCAACGCGGCTGTGACAGAAGCCGGTAGCAGGCTGCAGGTGTTGCTGTGACAGCCCTGACCATGCTGCTTGTTTGGAATTAGGAATGGATTTGACAGCTGCTAAGTGGGGCATAATAGCCATGCTAGTAGGAGTGTGGAACTGATGCTGAGGGCAGCGTGGAGGGGCCCACATGGGCACCTGGGTAGAGACCATTCCTGTGATATTGTGGCAGAATGCGGCTGCTATGGCCTTGTCCTAATACGTCTGCTTGAGGCTACATTCCAGAATTCTGGGTTAATGACAATGCCAGAGGAGGCTAAAAGCTTAGTTTTGACTGTGTCACATGGTTATTAGAAGTTACTCTTATGCAGATCTATAACGAAAAAGAGCACATGGGACAAAAGATAAAAATGTAGTTTGAGAATATCTGACTTAGCTTCCTCTCCTGGATTTGGGAGTCGGGGGCCATGGAGGAGAGAGGCTGGTTGGTAGGTGCTATCTGTTAGACTCCATGAGGTTGTGCAGTATTTGTCTCCATGCCTGGCCTATTTCACTGAATGTGACACAGACCCATCCATATAACCATGAGCTCTTGGGCGCTCATCTGCAGATGGACACTGGTTGGTACTGGGCTGTTGCAAACGGTGCCCCAAGCACAGGCGTGCAGGCAGCTCTCAGACACCAGCTTCACTGCAGCAACGTCTGTCTGCAGGGCTGTTTGCACAATGGCTGTACCAACTGGTGCATCCTTGTGGTTTGGGTTTGCATTTCCATCATTTTCTCACCCGTTGGTCCTTCTACATCTTCTGAAAACCATCTAGCCAGGTAGTTCACTCATTGAAAACAAAAAGCTGCTACTGTTTTCATCTAAATTTGACATTAAAAAAAAGCCATCAAGTAGCCTCTGTCTATGGGGCCACACATGCATCTCGATGGGCCACGTGCGCTGAGGTTTTGAATGAGAGTACTCTATTCCTGCAAGCTGAGCATCTCCCATCCAGCTGGCACATTTGTCAGCATCATGCCCTGCTCCGCAGCTTCTGCTTTTGTTGCCCTTGATTGTGGAGCATGCCTGGTTCCAGCTCTTCAGTTGTGCTGGCTGTGAGGCTTGCTCCTGCTTTCACGGGAGACCATCCTTTCTCTGGCGGCAACTGTGTTGAAAGTCTGAACTGTGCTGTGTTGTGGTCGGGGCTGAGCAGGAGTTTGTCTCAGCTACACTTGCGGGCGCTGGGTTGCCTCGCTCCCCACCTGTCTGACACATGCCCTGTGGGACCTGTGTCTGAGCATGCTGGCCTGCAGTGGCAAACAGTGAGATTCCCAGAACATGAATTTCAACATTTAAAGGGACAATCCAGGAGGCCCTGGGTCCCGCCTCAGCCCCACATGCTCACACAACCCACTCCCCCTGTGTG